ACAAATGGTTTCAGGTATTTATCAACAGCCCGTTCAATATCCCAGTCTACAAGCAAACTTGATGGATCACCGTTCATAAGGCTAAATGTTACTTGATACATCGGTGAATATTTCATTGTTCTCATGCTATCAATTTCTACCTAAGTTTGTAATTAAATTGTCAGGAATAATACATAATAATTATTTAATATTATCATATATACTATACCTTTGCATCAGCCGAGGGTTCCAAAATGAACTTTTTGATAGCAGCTTGCTCGGGTAAAAATAAGCTTAAAATAATATTCGAAATAGTCTTCTCGACGAAATCTACATTAGCAATTATTTAAATACGACAACATAAAACGTCCTTACAAATTGTCTTATATAGCACTCACCAATATTCCAATTCTTAACCTCTATAATCGCTTGTCTTTGATTTCCCACCAAAACCTTCGTATTCACACTGCTCCCAGGTAATATATAAAAAGCATATTGTCCATTCCTACTTTCAAAATTCAAAATTTCAGGATCAAATCCTATAGTAGCAATTGTATAATAATCAGATTTCTATCTTTTAAAATTCGTGCAGGCGAATTTTTTACTCCAGATTCTTACTTTCTTTGAGGGCATCTTTCCATCCATCCCACTTCACCATTTCGCATTTAATCGGAAATCGAATCGATTTTAAAGAACTATTTTCACCGCTTATTGAGTTGATAGAATCATATTTCGACATAATCGATTTTTCCAGACGCGCGGAAAGATTCCCGAAATTATTAACACTATCCTCCACTTCGGCAACATATAATGTAAAGTGAATTGGAAAGTCTATACCGAGTGTCTACAAATTTGTTGTAATAATTTGAATAATAATATTATTATTTTGAAAATCAAAGAATTTAAGACACACCTCCCAGTTAGACCATTCTTCTATTTCTGTAAATGGTAGCTGAGCACGATAAACCTCGGTTGTTTTCCACCATAAAGGGATGCCGATTAATATTACAACCCAAAAAGATAATATAATTAATCGACGAGTTTGGTCAATGTTACTTTGACTTTTTTCCATTCTAAACTTTTGCAAATATCACATCTCTGGTAGCTTGACTGAGATACGCAAGTTTTAAAATTGTATGTACGCACGTACATTTGATAATCATTTGAAAAAATAATCTCCAATCAAAATTATACAACCTAGTTTGAATAAATATTTTTATAATAAATAATACAAAATTTTAAAACAATCAAAATAATAAGTTTTATCTCTTAAAATTTGATTGAAAAATAATAATATTAATAATAATAATAATATTATTATTTTAATTTATTTTTAATTATAGATAAAAATAATATAATATACAATATAATATTATGATAAAGCTAAATAAATTATTCTATTTTGTAGAATACTTGTCAACAAGTTATTTATAAACTTATATATGATCCTTGAATCTTTAATATCAAAATTATTATATTACTTATATAATTTAGATTTATTTAAAACTTCAAAAAATATCAAACTGATATCAAAATAGTATTAAAATAGTATCAATCTATAGTAAATTTAATATATAAATTATGATCTATTAAAATAAATTTATAATTGAAATAATATTAAAATAATATTATTAAAAGCCTTAGATTTATTAAGCTATTATTATATATTATTAATTATTTTAAACTTTTCAAATTTTTATTCTTTAAATATTAAAATTTTAATTTTGAAAAATAAAAGCTAGTTTATATTTAAATTGTTACTTTAATATAAACTTGTAATCCTAAAAAATATAAAAAAAATTATTTTTTAAGAAAATAAAGAAAAAAAAATAATAATTAAAAAGTTTATTCTAATAAATAAAAACTTTTTAAAATTAATTTTAATTTATCAAAATAAATATTTTATCATTATTTGCAATTAGGCAAGCTATTTAATTTCTATTATTTTATTGCTAATTAATATGTTTAAAGTATTTATAATAAAACTTATATTAATAAAAATTATTATTTGTAAAAACTCTCTCCTGATCGTGTCCGTTTTGTTAAAAAAATTTCCTTTTATGATAATTTTAAGCAAGAAAAAATGTTTTACACTCTTTATCGCAAGTGAGCCCTAGCTTAGGAACTCAAGAACCTTCAAGACAACTGGTGCAGTAGGATGGGACCTCTGGTCGAAGTCTATTCAAGTTTGAGAGTCTTGCTT